AACTTTATAAATTTCTGAAAAATAAAATTTTAGATAAAGAAGACAAAAACACAAGGGAATATATCATATTCCTTTACATGATAAAATGCAGTTTTAAAGGGACAGATGCACCATTTCGGGGTTGATTTGAGTCTTGAATATAGGTATATAGTCTTCAAAAGTACTAAAATGTACCGAAATCGCATAATTCCTTCAAAAATATCTCAAGCTTGGAATTTCTTTGCCTATTTCTATAGATATCTTTTCTATATATGGCAGTGTCTCAAAAAAGATGTCTTGTGTTTATAACTTTCAACAACTGTTAATTTTTGACGTTCTGAACATTGTTACAGATTGGATTAGCTAAAAAATTCCAGATTCTGAGACAAAAGTATGATTGCGAGTCTTCTATTCCTTAGAACACTTGGTCCAAAAAATTTCACTTCTGTCCCTTTAAGTATTTCATGCTCCAAGTCACAAATACGGAAATCAGACAACCACTTTAATTCAATTTCAAGGATGAAGAACATCATCAAAAGTACAAAGTATTTTACTTAATTCTTACCTTGAGTACTGAAAAATTATTCCAACGATGTTTCATGGAAATCAGACAGAGAAATAGTACTAAACCAAGTACCATACACAGCTGTACCAATATAGATAGCATGTTATTTGTAGAACAAATTAACGGACTACTGTATTGACTAGTACATACTAATAAATGACCAAATATACCAATGGAAATTCCAAAAATAATGATAGTACTATTATAATTAGTATATTGGTTGTATGATTGATTAGTAACTTGAAGTATAAGTAGCATAAACATCTGAAATAGAGAGAGAGAGGATGACTTAGACAGACACAAATTTCCATAATTTTTTATCCAGGCCCATAGAAATAAAAATCTCAGTAATATTAACATGGTAGGCTTGTCCCTCAACAATCTTTTAATACACAAATAAATTAAGATTTGATTTTTTACCAATTTTCTACCAAATTTGTTTTTGCTTAATTATTAATGTATGCTTATTTGTTCATAAAAGATTTCATATTACAGGATTTATTATCAGTTTTTTTATTAAATATTATTGCAGGAGACTTATTCTTATTTTTCAGAAATTTTACCAAGATGTTACTTTAATCTTAGCCATGCATAATTAACTTTCTAATATTTCTAAACTTTTGCACCTTATTTTAACATGAGTTTTTTTACTTTGTGACCTAGGCCAGTGCTTTTATGAGACTGCGTTCTCATCACCAATTAACACTATTGTAAGATTTTTTGACCTAACATATGAAAAGTTCGAGAATGAATTATCTTATTGACTGCCCAAACTTTTGCAATGTTTTCTTGCATTAACTCTAAATCAAAGCAAAATTATGAACAAACTGTAGTATAAATGCATAGGGGTGTACGATGAGGGGAATTTGCAATGACACTAGTCTTATATACCTTTCTTCCAATTCCCATGAGTAAATTGAAACTTTTTGAGAGAATATAAGATACTTACCAACCAAATAAAGATTATGGCTACGTAAATACCATGAAGATCATAATTAGTAGAAGATTCTTTAATAACCTCTGTCATTAACTCTATACTATGTTTATAAGATGTTAACAGTGGCTGGATTTGATTTGTCTTGCTTGTGTCATTTGATTTTAGCCATTTTCTGTATCTACTATTTGTTTCTGTGTACAATATATACCCTGCATCTAATTCAAAATAAGAATAAGATATAAATTTTAGACCAACATGGTCTCTTATCATCTAGAACTGAGCTGAAAGTTTTTGTACAGTAAAATATTCTCATTGACTTCTGCTACAAGTTTAGATTTTGCCATGTGCCCAAGTCCAAATATTAGAAGAAATGTGGACTCTCAGAAGAGATGTATTAAGACTTGAAAGCTAACAGGTCCATGGGACATATTTGTCCACCACCAGAGTTGTTAACTTATTAGTATGTAATAAATAAACAACATTTTTTTAATGGACTCTTCAAGAGGAAGTTTTGATGAAGCAAATACTGCCAGCTCTTGTATATAAGTGGTTAATAGAGGGTGAAAGACCAGACTGACTCTCGAAAGCAACAATTTTTTTTTAACTTGAGGAGGAATCAAATCCACTGAGCTGAGCTGGTGATTGAAAGTAACAAGTATCTATTTTACATTATAGTTATTTTGTATGCCAACAAATTTTAAAATACACAAAAAACTTACTATTTACATAATCTTGGCTATTGAACTTTAACAAATCAGCTATCTGTAGAGTATTATGATACAGTATATTGAGAGACTGCACAGGGTTGTATTGATATAATGACTCCAGTATAACAGTTCCTAGGTTGTTAACTGGTATTGGAATATTAGTCAATGCAGCTAATGTTGGCGCCAGATCTATTTGTAGTATATCAGATTCTACTTTCCCTGAAAATTTATCATCTGAGGCCTAATACAGTCTACTACAATCATGAAAATATTGGAATCTTAATACAAAGATGAAATAGTGCTCAGCATATCAATTGTAGAGTGATATGGAAATTTTAAAACAAAACCTGAAACATATTGTTACTCAGAGCTTCATCAAATTATTTTCACTGTTAAAATAGTGCTCATTACATCAATTGTAAAGCAATGTTATATTATGGAGTTGCAACATGTTTCAGGTTCTGTTTTAACATTTTTAAGTGTGGAACTTGTTTAACTAAATGACTGAAAGTCATGCTACTTCTTGATGCTTCCTGAGCACTTTCCAGTTCTTTGTATTTTCTTAAAGTATATCATTATATGAAATGAGCAATAATTACCCTGTTGAAAGTGGATTCTGGAGTATTGTGAAGGGTATAGAAATATAACAGGTACAGTAATTTCTGATAGTGATGCCCCACCATGTCCACCTTGATCGCTCATACCATGATCACCACAGATCACTATTACACTCTCCTCACTTTCCTGTACACAAATTGATATATAATATCATTATTTTATCTAGGTCTATGTAAGCTATATAACCAATGCAAAAACAAGAACAAAATATTTTTACTTTTAAAATAAGGCTCCATAATACATCAATTAAAGAGCAAAATTGAAATATTAGAATAGAACCTGAAACATGCTATAAGCTAACTTTAGACAACTGACCTATTTCAGCCTGCATCCATACTGAAGTTTTACACGTATTAATTGAACATTTTGAAGAGATGAACATTGAACTAAATTATAAATTCACAAAAAAATTAAGCATTTTCTTACCATTTTACTCAGACCTTTATATATTTTCTCAATTATTTGATCCATTTCGTGTAATTTAGGTTGAATTAACGGACTTTTTGGACCAGACATGTGACCAATATGATCTAATCCTAAATAATGTAAAATCATCATATCCCAGTCTAGGATGTCTAACTCTTTCTCTAAATGACGAGTAACATTATCATCTACCTACAATATACATATAACTATAAAGTCAGTAATTATAAGAATTTGAGAGATTTAAAATTCAAAATGTTCATGGTTTTATAATTTGGTGTGGACCACACCTTATATATTTACACCTTAAGCAATGGTGAATCCCAGTGATACTAAGCATTGGAACCTGCTTATATTGTGCAACTCATTTTGAAAATATTTGGTTGATAATTTTCACATGGTAAACTAATTAATTCCAAAACTCAAACCATATGGATTACATTACAAGTTTTTACATAGTACTACTTTCGAAAAGTAATCTTAAAGTACCTCAGTATAGTCAGAAACAAAAAATGAAGTGGTTCCTTCTTCTCTATGAAAGTGTTGTGGAAACAATCTAACCCAAGTATCATCACCATAAAATATTATTTTCTTCCCTGCAGTCTTCATCTGAGTTATAATATTATCTTCTTGTAAAGAATCAGATCCAAAATTCAGGATTACATCCAGGAACCCAGGAATGCTTCCAGTAGTTAATGCCTGAAAATACAAAATTAAACAAAGGAAATAATTCACATGTAACATAACTTTTTATATCAAAAATGCTTGATTAATCATAATTATGTTTCTTTTTAATAATAAAATTTTTATTTGTTGAGAAAAACTTCCTATTTCATTCCAGGAAATCAAGGCAAACTCCAGTGTCAAATGCTATTAATGGACCAATCAACTATGCATTCCATTTATAAAGGGTCCAAATTCCAAATAATTACTTGCCTTGATTCTTGGTAGGGTGACTGTGGGTGGACTAACTTTGGCTTTAAACAACAATCCATTTCCTTTATCTATTTGAGATTGAATAAATGTCATTGGAGTCTGAGAATCAGAAATGAAGTCATATCTCATGGCATCTACCACAATCAACACCACATGTTTGTATCCTTCAAAATGTTCAACTCCATTACTATTATTATTATTATTTACAGCAGAAACATTATTGTTGTCTATTATGGAATGTTTATGGGGAAAATAAGACAATATGAATATGCCATAAAAAGCCAAAAGTAGGAAAGAGCTTAGGATAAAAATAAGGGGCGAGTTTCCAATACTTGAAATACCCATTTTCTTCTTCTATTTGAGTTTTAATCATTAAAATTGTCTCTGATTCAATAAAATCCTGAAGTAGGACGCCATGTTTGTTTACATGCTATGTCAAAATTATTGTAAAATTATCCGAACAAAATATTAAACACGAGACGAAAATATATTCTTTACTCAGTCCACAGTTAATACAAAAACTTTATAGTCACAATTCATCAATAAAAGAAAATTCAATGCATTAAATCGTATATTCTATTAATCCTTTTTTCTTATATTTTTCTTTCATCATGAATATAATTTTTTTCGTTTTTTAAAAACATAAACTGGGACCTAGTATGTTTTACTAACCGAACGTTAGAAAAAGAATTGTAAACACATGGGGATTTTCTGATTTAAGTGATATTCCGGTTTATTCATCTATAACCTCACAAAATGCCCAAAAATGCATCTAAAAAGGTTCAGAAAAGAGAGGAAAACAAGAGGGAAGTGAAGGAATGTGAGTGTAGGCCTGTTTTTGAAACATCTTTACAATGTTATGTTTCATTATAAGTCACTGAATGCTGAGTTTACTTTTTCTAACTTAGTGTTCCTAATCACCGACCCCTACCAAAAATCCTAAATTCATAAATCCATAAGCAACAAGAATATTGAGCCAACCCCTGGTGAAAAATGCAATTTTTTGTCACATTTTACAATGTAATGTGCACCCCCAGTTTGATAGACACTCCTTTGGGTGAAAAAAGGCTTGCTTGGTATGCCTGTTTGTGACAATAATGAAGTTTTCAAAGTGGTCAAGTTTTAATGGAATATTTGAAAAAGTTAATTTCAGCCTTTAGTTTTGTTTAATTTGAAATATATACTTTTATACAGGGATTTTTCAATTCGTACAATGTCTTTCGCCTTTTACAGTAATTGATGATATTGAAGAAGATGTAGATTTTGATCTAGAATCTGGTTCAGATAATGATGATTCCACTTCAGAATCAGAAGATGAAAATGCTGAGGTAAACAATGTGGATGCCTGTTTCCTCATTATAAAAAAAAAGTAATTTTGTGTGAATAGAGTGATAGAGCTAAATAGCAGCTAACTGTACCAGTTGTCAGAAATAAAATCTAATGTTTTCTAAAAATTAGTAACATTCCTATGAACAGATATCAGCGATGTAGTTATTGCACTGTGGATATTAATAGAAAAAAGAAGTGAAGAGAATGTAAACTACAGAATTTTTTTTTTTAAAGAGGTTTTCTAAAATTTTTATGTGTATCAGGGACACTGATAGCATCAATTTGTACTATTCCAATTTTCATTCAGATGTCTGTGGTTTCTGCAATTCCAACAAAAAAGAAGTCTTTGATGATGCACTAAACGCAAAATTTGCTTTATCACTAGTGATTAGTGATGTCATCATACACTTAGTTTTAGTAGGTTTAAATATTGAAATAGGAATGGTGAAAATTGATGCTATCAATGTCCCTGATGCACATAAAAGAGTTAGAAAACCTATTTACAATCCCTTTAACAGCCTTTCTGTCCCTTTTAATGGTACTGTACTTATGTCAACACCCAAAGACATGTTTCATTTCTGCCTCATGCTACTCAGGGTGCTCTATCATCAGGTAAAACAAATACTAACAGATGTAAGATACAAAGGAATGATTTGGTACAGATACTACATTGTAATAATTGTTTTAGGCTATGTCATCTAAGCTGGATAGAGATTGGTTTCGTACTTTGGCTGCATTAAAAACAAATGATCCAAGAATTCATGATAAGAATGCCAAGTTCTATGGTAATATTTTTAATTTATTTCTTTCTAAATCTTACTGTGAGCTAAATATTCTCACTCACTGCATGAATCCTAGAGCAGAGGTATGGTTTGATTGTATCATAGGACAGGACAATATTTCAACCTAGTTTCCCCTATTGGTGATGTAGGTCAAAGGGACTGACAATATGAAAACCCTTCCAGTCATTCACATGGGAAAGTTGTGTATGCTATAGACTGTACATGTTAAAGTTTCCATTGCAGTTGAAAATTTGACTAAAGCTGCTGTCTAGGACAAATTCCATCATTGTTCACTACATGTGTTGCTTAACTTCTTTGGCCTAATCAACGTTAAAGATCCCTCGACAGTTGGAAATCGAAAAAAAGCAGGCTAATTTCCCTCATTGCACCCTGCATGGCGTTGCCCGTCTTCATTAGCCCACATGGTGCAGAAAAGTAGGGCGTAAAACTCCATTCATTTCCATTTCATTTCATTTTGGCCTAATCAGCCTACATTAACATATAATCCATGTTCCTTTAGCAACTTTACATGATAATGATCAGCTAGATGTGAATAATTGTACAGTTGCTTAAGGAACATGCATATAATCCTGAAATGTTAAAATCAAAGTATTGATATTTCACAGAATCCAGTTCCTCAGAAGAAGAAGAAGATATTGATGACAGAAAAAAAGTTAAAAAATCTAAAAAAGATAAACCATATTTGTTGAAAGATTATCAGCATGAAGTTTTAATGAAAAAGGGAGGGTAAGAATAACTTTATGGTATTAATTTCTCATGCCCTTTAAAAATGTAAAAAGGATTTTGCCTGGGTTAAACGTAAACTTTGATGACAACTGTCACCTCTGTCTATATTTTCACATTCACTATTTTGTTGTAAAAATAATCAGTTTATATGAAGAAAAATTTGTGATTAAAAAGAACCTCCTTTATTTCATCAAAAGAAATGAAATGTTCCATGTGTTATTTTTCACATCTGAAGATGAGAAATTCCAGGCAAAATGCAAAGATTGAAATTTTGCCAGAACAATGGAATTAGCCTATTTGCTTTCCATTTCCAGCTGTTGTGGTACTCATGAGGCCTTGGTCCCATCCAAAGGACTAGATGCTTCTCCATGTCAGTCCATTTGGCCTGCAACAATTACAGAAGTTACCAATGTGACCCAAATCCAAGCTTACATACATTTTGTGAAAAAAGTCAAATTATGAAACATCTGTGATACCTGATTGATGAGGACTCACTCTATTTTAACAAGAGAAATAGTTTGAATCTTTATTTATGATATATTTGTTTCAAAAAGTTACAATCTCATGTCTGCTAGATTTGTTTTTAACAGAATTATAGATGAAGAGGAAGAAACACCATCAACATCTTTTCTTTACAACACACAAGCTGAATCTGAGATTAAAAACAGTTTAAAGTCTGCTTTTATTACCTCCGATGATGAAGAGTCTTCTGGTGATGACTTCCTGAAGAAACGTGTCAAAACAGAAGATCAGGAGGTATTGTTTATTATAGATATTTATTTCCTGCTAATTCTTTAGTTCAGTTTCATTTTAAAATCCAAATAACACGTTTAAAATAGTTGATGATTCCTTTTCCAAAAAGATTGACAAACTTATTGTTTGATCAAAGTAAAAAGTTTTTTGAATTTTTCCATTACTTAAGTGTAAATTGGAATAACAGCCTCAAATGGTACTGTTAATCTTTGTGTCTTCAAAATTATTTTTACAGAAGACAATTTTCAGCCAAAACATTAAACTTTATTTGGTGGAAATTTCTAGGAGAGAAATGTGTTTCTTGTAACCTAATGTAAACTTACAAAAGATTATATGTTTATCCATGCAAAAAACATTCTAAGATTATCAGTACTATTTTGAGGCTGATATTCCAATTCTCAAAAATTAAGGAAGAATTTCGCTTTGCTCACACAATAGTGATAAATAGGTATCAGATATCTACCAGCAATTTGTAGACATTATTTATGGTTTGTAGCAAGAAGAAGACGTTGAATATATTAATTGGTTAAAAGGCCAGAAACACTCATTAGACAATGATAAACATGTTAAAAAAGATTTGGTAAGTAGATCATTTTCAATCCCAAATCTGTTGCTAAAAGGCACAGTTTAATGTTGGCCTATTGGCTTAATAGATCTTATTCATGCGTCAGCCATATTGAATCCAGAACGAGGCTCATAACACAAAGAAATAAAGGTAACAACTTAGTAAAATGGCAACATAAATATTTTTTTTGCATGTCTTGAAGCTACACTAATGATAATGATAAAATCGCATGTCAAGATTAGGTCCGGTGGAAACAAGCATGGATACAATATTGATATTGAGATTAAAAAAAAGATATTATGTGTTAGTACATGACATTGCCTTTCAGAAACCATTGAAAAAACTATGGAATCAACCAGATTTAGATGAAAATGAAAAATTCTTGGCTGATTTTTTCCTCAATAAACGTTATATTAGTAAAGAACAAGAAACAAGGTAAATGAATCCATTGATAATAATTACGGTTTTTGTGGGTCTTTTATATAATCTTATGGTATAACTCATTTATTTCTACCTTATTGATTTTATCTGTGTGGACGTTGATGAACAGATTGATGTAAAGATTGATGTAAAGATTGATGAACAGATTGATGTACTGATTGATGTACAGATTGATGTACTGATTGATGTACAGATTGATGTACAGATTGATGAACAGATTGATAAACAGATTGATAAACAGATTGATGTACAGATTGATAAACAGATTGATAAACAGATTGATAAACAGATTGATGAACAGATTGATGTACAGATTGATGTACTGATTGATGTACAGATTGATGTACTGATTGATGTACAGATTGATGTACAGATTGATGTACAGATTGATGAACAGATTGATAAACAGATTGATAAACAGATTGATGTACAGATTGATGTACAGATTGATGTACAGATTGATGAACAGATGGCTGAGTGTGCCATAGGCTGGGCGCATGTTAAAAATCCCACTACAGTTGGAATTGTAAAAAGAGTAGGCTTATACCACTGTCCTTTCAACATTTCCCTTCTTGCACACTGTAACTATTTTTTATGTAACTTTAGACAGGGATAATAACCTGAGTGACTGTCTATAAGTTAAGACAAAGATTATAAATTTTTGTTAAGTGACTGATAAATCATCTGTTATAGGTTACCTACCTATGAAGAAATCGTAAATGAGGAAAGACAAGATTTTAGTAAACTAGTGGGAAAATATAAACACAGATTTGAAGAACCAGGTGGCAGAACGGTAGGTTTTTATCACAAAAAATTAGAATAATCAAAAGATTTAAAGATGCAATCGTTTATATATTTCCCTTTGCAACTGATGGAGCTAATATTAGAACTTTTTGCTATTAAAATCTTAGACCTTGAATTTAAATTCTGAAAATTTTGATACTTTTAAATATCTATAGATTTAAAAACTTTCAACCAATGAAGGCACATCCCCATCAAAGACATTTTTGCAATTTTGTGAAATATCATCAAAATCAGTATGAATAAGAAAATGTTGAACTCTGTTTCTCAAAATATCGTAGATTAACATACAAGCGTAGCCTAAATGCTAAAAATTAACGATTTGATAACGTCAAAAATAACGTTTTTCTTTACTTAACATGCAAGTTCAAGCATACGAAATTTTGAAAAACAGGGTCCCGGTAAGCTTTGTCAAATTAAGTGATAAAGTTTTGATTTATTGTATATACAATCTGTAGATACCATCATATCCTAGAAAAATAGAAGATAGTGTACGTAGAAAAGACACCAGACGGGCTGATAAAAATAGAGATGTTAGAGAAAGAAAAATCAAGGTAGATATTTTATTCAGGATACTTCACTTACTTGTAAATGAGCTATTTGAGTCGAAACACTGGCCTTATTCTGGAAAAACTTGACTGCAGATGATTTTAAGTGTTCCAGGCATCTAATTAGTCAATCCTTAAGATTGATTTATATTTTTGATTATTATCCAATAAAATTGCTGAATTTCATTTTATTCTTATCACATTTTTGAGAAGAAAATCCTGGATCTTGTAATTTGAAATGTTCTTGAAAGTTCTGACATATAGTTTGTCTTACAATTCTTTCTTTAAATAACGGAACACAATTTTATGGTATACTACTCCTTAGTTTTATTACACTCTACGTTTCGACTGACAATGTAGATTGTTTAAATGCAGTGTGTAATAAAACTAAGGAGTAGTATACCATAAAATTGTGTTCTTTTATTTAATCTGATCTCTACCCCTAAATGCCGATAAAGGATTATTCTGTCATTGGTGTTGTTTCACAAGTATCAAATGTATCTTGTTGTTACCCGTGTCTATCTGTTCTAAATTGTTTGTGATTGCTATAGATAAAATATTTTAAATTTTCATTATTAATGAATTTCACAAGTTTTGAAAGTTCTTGTCTTGTATCAAATTTGCCCATGCAAGGGTCAGAAGTTGCAGCTTGATAGATTTTTGGGGAATCTTGGTATTGTTTTTATTGAGAACCAAGTGATCTAGTATGTAAACCAGTGCTGCCCTCTACATATTTCTCATATATTCATGTTTCAGCATAAAGAAGAGAAAAGAAAAGAAATAGAGAAAGTTAAGGCTAGTAAAAGAAAAGAAATTTTAGCTAAAATCAAGAAAATTCAAGAAGTTACTGGTAATGATAAAGTTGGGTTTACAGATGAAGATTTAGAAGGGGATTTTGATCCTGAAAAACATGATCAAATGATGAAGGTAAGAATAAAGATACTATATTTTGTTCTTTAGCCAGTAAATTACCCAACTTACAATTCTTCTTTATCAGCAATTGTTGTCGCCAACTAGATTTTGTTAAGAATTTCAACAACCAGCTGCAGATGATATTACAGATGATGACACAGTCGGCAATATTAAACTGTCTTGATTTTTTGCATTCTGGCAGCAACATGAATATCTCTGAAGCTCATGCACACATAAGATTTTACTCAAGTTTTGTGTCGGCAACAAAGACTATTCATGTAGTGATGCAACATATCAGAATCATGACCCATTTTTCTGGTATTATAGAAACCCCAGATGTTAAATCACAAATTGCAGGCCAGAAAAAGAGCTCTAAGATTGTCTACATACTTATATAGAAAATGTCTTATGAATTCCTCTTAAGCTATTTTGTAATTGTTATTTGTCCATCTGTAGGAAAGATTTAATGATGATTATTATAATGATGAAAATGATGAAGAGACTAAACCTGTTTTTCAAGATGATGAAGTTGAAGATATGAACTATAATGGTTTGTTTATTTCTACCTACTATTAAATCATTAGGGATGAATTTTTTAAAATTTTGTTGGTCAGCTCAATCAGAAAATTACCTCCTCACTATGTAGAAGGCATTGTAGAAATGTAAATTGCATTTTGATTTTTAGCGGTATCCAAGACTTCCTTTATTAGAGAAATTCTTCTGTTTTTCAGACCATTTGTTTTCTCGATTGAAAGCACTAAAAAAAATTTTGATGGATGAAAAGATTTCTATATAAGAAATGACTTCCATGCCAGTATTTTATTTTGATTGAGTTTATGTTTGGTAATGTTCATTTCATGTGAACTCTAATTGCTTCAGTATCTGGTTAAAAAAAAAAATTTGAAAGAGTTTATTGTGGTCTGTTTTTCAGAGGATTGGGGTGAAAATGGTAATAATGATATTGGTGATGATGATGAATCCAATTTTAATGTAAGTATAACACAGCAAATGTCATTTAATGTCTGTTGTTTTTGGAGAATGGTCATTATCTGGTTTCTTGGCTATACAGGAGCTATGCTTAATACATTAAGTTTTATAATCTTGAAATGGCAATTAGTAAAGGTGTTGGAAATAATAAGACAATTCTTATGGATAACAACCAACTTTTTTTTTCGTTCATTGCTTGATAAAGACCAGAGAAGGCTGGTTGAAACAAATAAAGTTAGTAATTGTAATCCATAAGAATGATATATATATATTTTAGATGGATGCAGATTATGATCCAAGTCAAGATTTAAGGAGTGGGAAAAAGAGAAAGAAGTCTAAATTTACTGAAGCTGTGAAGAAAAAGAAGCCTGTGTTTGATCCTGGTAAATGTTATTTATATTTTGATGAAAAAATTTTCACTTGCGTCTGCACGTAGATAATTTCAATTTGCAAATTTATATTCTTTTATAATCCCACCAATAGTCACCTTTCTTGTATCATGGAATTTTGTCAAAGCAGCGATTTGATTGGATATTAGGCTACCGAGATGAGAGTCTTCGACGGAATGTCTGTAAACCATAAGCCATATTGTTTAAAATCTTAATGTCAAGGGCTCTGATTGGCTGTATTTGCGAGCACACAATTCAATGAAATGGCTGCATTCCGTGATACAAGAAAGGTGGTATTGAAGTCAAGGTATAAGACAAAGTTCATAATAGCTTGACACTGTGAAGATAGTGCTTCCAATCAGTGTTGATCTTCCGAACTCCAGATGTAAAAGTCAGATGCGTAATGATTTAATGAAAATAATCATGGTAATTTCTTTCAGCTGAGAAGTCATTTCCAGAATATTTTGATGAATATTATAATTTAGATTTTGAAGATGTTATAGGAGATTTACCTTGTCGTTATAAATATAGAAAAACACAAGCTAATGATTTTGGTTTAACAGTGGAAGAGGTAAATGTATATTTCTTACAGGGACAGGTTTCCCCATTTGTTAAACCAATCATACTTTATCATACAACAAGAATTTTTGTAGCTAAGCCTGTACTGTTAAAATTTGAGCCTTCGAATCCATGTGTGTACAGAATTATCAAAAAAAGTTAAAATGGCGACTCGTCTTTTCTTGAGACTGACAAACCATGGCCTTCAAAGATTTTTATTTTAAACATTTTGTATTCTATTCATATGTATCCCTGATTTGTCTGAGTTGTCTTGTCTGGCAAATAGATCTAAAGCAAGAACCTTACATTGTGCATATTTTATTTCAATTCATACTTGACAATTGGTCCATTGTAGATTCTCTCAGCTCCAGATAAAGAATTAAATAAATGGGCCTCAGCTCAAAATGTTGTACGTTACTTGTAAGTATATAAATAATAATTTCATCCTTTTGGTAGTCAACAGATAGCTCATTTTACCTGGTCTCTGCTATTTTGATGTATGATAGGAGAGTCAGAAAATATTGGTTCTGAACTTTTCTACCTGCAGCCATGTAATAGTCACATAATATAGGTACACATTTGGATAGTGCTTGATTGGAGAATTCTTAACAGGTTCCACAAGTTCCAATTCTGGCTTCAATCAAAGGGAACAGAACCTGATACATCACATTCAAAATTACTCTTCTGTTCTTTTCTCTGCCATTTTGAATTTCTGAAGGTCATTTCAGAGGTCAACAAGTTTCTGCCTAGTGATATATATATTTTTTTTTTTCGAATTTGTTCTCACAAAAAAATAATTCCATTTATTTCAAATTTGTTCCCCTTTCTGTGTTCCTTAATAATTTTAATAATGTGTTTTATAGAACTGAAGAAGAAGAAAGAATAGAAAAAATTAAGTATAAGAAAAGAGGAAAGTCTGTCATGAAAAAGGTTAATTTAATGCCAACTCTTAGGTAAGATAACTTGTCAATTCCTAAATTGTTAGATCCAAATTTGATAAACACAATATACATTAGTTTGTTTTCTTGAGAAAAGTTAAAGTTCTCCTTCACAAAGGTTTTGTTCATGATATGGACATGTGTTTTGGATATAAAAATCCCATTATTACCAAGTTATAGAGTAATCTCTTTAAAATGTACCTCATTGTGCACTGCTATATTTTATAATCGATATTAGAGCAAGGAGTTTTACCATCAGCTGTGTTTGGATGGAATTGGGGCAGCGCTTGCAACTTAACAGACCAATCTGTTCATATTTCTATGAAGTTTGATCGTTAACATTTCATATTTGTTCTACAGAGAAGCTTTAGATCCAGAGGCATTGGCTGAGGCAGAAGCTAAAGTAAAACAAAAGATTGATGAGAAACAAAAGAGGAAAGAGATGAAGTCTCAGCCAACGTCAAAACGGGCGAAATTGAGAAAATTACACAGGAAATTTAAGAAAGATAACCAGAATAGTGAAAAGAAAATATCAAATGTACAGAAGAGTGCTAAAGTATCAGACAGTCGTGTTAAGGCTTATGGATATGATCCAAGAAAATTAAACTATTTACATACGGACAATTATAGAAAAGAATCATCTTGAAACTATATATTGTGTTGTTCCAAGTTTTTACCATTAAAATTGGTATATCCTTTGAAAGTCATTCATTTGGGGCAAACAGCTACACATTAAAGGTACGGGTGTGCCATTTTGGGGGGATTGATTTGTCTTTAATATATGTATATTGTCTTCAGAAGTACTAGAATGTAAGAAAATTACATAATTCCTTTAAAAATACTTCAAACTAGGAATTTTACTCACTATTTCTATATATCACAGAGTATCTTAAACTGATGAGTTGTCATTTTGACATTCAAACGCAGATAATTCTGGATACATAGGATTTGAAGGCTCAAATATCGAGGGGGAGCTGTGAACATTATAACTGATTAGCTCAGCTAAAAAATTACAGTTTCTGAGAGAAAAGTAGGATGGTAAAAAAAATGGCCTACCTGTCCCTTTAACATGGCTAAAAGGAGTTCATAATAGGTTTTTCTAGCTTGTGCGTGGGTACCTGGAGCGTATAATGAATTCCGTAATTCCAGAAAGTTTGCATCACTTCAAAATTTATGGCATCATTTAGTCCATTGAAGGAGACACTAAGAATCCTTATGGTGCAAATAGAAGTTAATGTGTATAAGTGTTCTAGATACACATACAAAGACTAGAAAACTATGCTTAAAACAGTCAACACTGAAAGCCAGTAGGGCCTGGTGATATACCAATATAAAGATTAACACATGTATAGAAATTCATTATCATTCAATTATACTGGTATATACCATTGGACAATTTGAACAGTTTAATTGTTATTTGATACATACATATATGTATTTTCACGATATCAAGAAATTAAATTGTTTTTTAAAATCTTTGATGTTTATCCTAATTGTAGTAACTTCTAGAACTGTTCCACTTATTATATGTTTCTCCTGCCTAAGAAAAGGCCCAGACTTGTGACTATGTAGTCTACTCCAACTAGCATTATATCTGAATGCAAATTTGGATATTTCATTTTGCCTAGACTCCACTTGCACCCTGTCCCTGGTCTTATCTGAAAGTTTTACTAAACAAATTCTGTTGTTATTTTTAAGATAGCCAAAATTATTTAAAGGTTGACGTAATGGACCGGGCCTGAAAAGGCCTTGGTTTGCGTTCTACACAAATTTTATTTGAGGTTTGCACCCAGAGGGTTAATGAAAAAAACACTAAATGTGACATTCAGATTTGCAATTTAATCAGATTGCATTTTTTCCCTCCTATGAGCAATTGGCTTGTGAACGCAATAGAGACTACAGTTTTTATCTGATTTTAATTAAATTTGGTGTGATCATTTATATTAATGAGATCTTGGACAAGTTGGAATTTGATGATCTTTTGATGAACATTTTGTGAGTTAATAAAAACGCATCAATATTTATTGGCTTGTGAATGCGATAGAGGTGACAGTTTATGTCAGAATTTTATTTAATTTTGTGTGTACAAATTAGATTTTTGGTATGATTAGACACAAATTGGTGACCACCCTTGATACAATGTATTAGGAAAGTGGGCGTATCTTGCTAGGACATCACTGGTTCAAATTTGGAAAGCAAATCCATTTCAATTATCCCAATCCATGACTAAAAGAATACAAATAGATAAGACAATTTATAGATGTTATATGTATTTAATTAATTTCACAGAATTATCACAAAATCAAATTGGAAACACCATAATTATTATGAGAACCACAGAGAAACAGGAATAATATTTTGAAAAAATTATAATTGGTTTTGATTGAATTGATAACTACTTTCTACTAGTAACAAATCTATTCTACTTTAAACAAATCATTCTAATTCTACTCTATTGAAAAATATACTAATCAAAAAACATAATATAAAAAGAAACTACAAAAGAACAAAATACCCATGAAAAATTAAAGCATGGTGGTTAACGGAAAGGTCTATTTTTGTTTATTTGTAGTAGCGAAAATTTTCAGTCAGATTCAAGTTAAAGAGATTGTAAAGAGGTTTTTAGAAAATTTGTGTTCAGGGACACCAATAGCATCAATTAGTACAATTAAAACCAGACGTCTGTGGTTCCTGCCCTATGTGATAAGGCATATTTCATGATTGGTGACATCAATGAATATTTTTTGGGAGGAACTAGACATCTGACTGGAAAAGGTGCAAATTGATGGCATCAGTTTCCCCGATACACATAATTTATAAGTTATACTGTGTAATTATACCACATGATTGAATCTCAAATTTATTAGTCGTGATTTTACAAATCCCATGAGGAAGAACATAGCTTTTCAATTTGAATTAGAAAATGAAAATAAGACAAGAATTGTCTGAATATAATATTTTATATCTGAAAGGCTCGTCTACTTTGGCAAACTAAACTATTAGTATCAGGTAGTAGTGGTTATATCAGGATTCATTGTGGTCATGAACAAAATGATTGTAACATAGAAATTGAATTATGTTTTTGAAATAATTATTCAAACATGATTGGCCTGTTACCATCATAAACCATAAAGTTTAGTTCTGAACATATTTTATGAGATATGTTCATGCCTTTTGGCACAAATTATTCATACATGATTGGCCTATTACCATTATTTTAAACACCATAAAGTTTAGTTCTGAACATATTTTATAATTATGGTAACATAGAAATTGAGTTATGTTCATTTTGGAAACATTATTCATACATGATCAAAACTATTATCATGATTTAAAAACCATAACGTTTAGTTCTGAACATATTTTATAATTATGGTAACATAGAAATTGAGTTATGTTCATTTTGGAAACATTATTCATACATGATCAAAACTATTATCATGATTTAAAAACCATAACGTTTAGTTCTGAACATATTTTATAATTATGGTAACATAGAAATTGAGTTATGTTCATTTTGGAAACATTATTCATACATGATCAAAACTATTATCATGATTTAAAAACCATAACGTTTAGTTCTGAACATATTTTATAATTATGGTAACATAGAAATTGAGTTATGTTCATTTTGGAAACATTATTCATACATGATCAAAACTATTATCATGATTTAAAAACCATAACGTTTAGTTCTGAACATATTTTATAATTATGGTAACATAGAAATTGATTTCATTTTTGAAACATTATTCATACATGATCAGATCTTTTAACATGATTTTGAGACCGTAATGTTGAGAACATATTATATGATTATGGTAACAGAAATTTAGTATTAGTAATTCTATTTTAATTTTTTCGAGAAATTCTTCATACATGATTGGAACTATTATCATGATTCGAATACCATAATAATTGAGTTCCAAATATATTTCATGATTAAAGTAACATAGCTATTGAGTTATGTTCATATATCATGGCTAAATTATTCATACATGATTGGAACTATTATCATGATTTGAATACCATACAGTTAAATTGCAAACATAATCCATGATTTAGAAAATTTACTTCTGGTAATAAATTTTTGCAAAATTAATCATACATGATTGGAACTATTATCATGGTTATTCCATTATTGTGCAAAACATAGGAGATCATATTGTGTATTTATGTTATTTCCTCCTGCTAAAATTGTACTAAAGAATGACATATTGTCTGATACTAAACAGCACTTTCTCTAACTCGTATACCCCAGATACTGGTTCTACGTACTCCTGTAGTTGGTCGAGCCACACTTGAGAAAGGGTAGCTATTAATCTCTATACTTGGCATACTTTCTTGTAAATGTGTTAAATACACTTCCCGTAACATACCAAAAACTTCTAAAGCTGATAATGATTCAAGTTGTGATAATACTCTGAAAATAGAATTTTCAATTGTTTACTGAATCAAAATTAATAGTAATCCTAGTGGAAGTATTCAAGTTAGTATTGGATTGATTTTAGATGTATTTATTTCGGTAAAACATTAGTCAATGCATTTTGCTTATCGGTCACTGTGTCTCTTTCTAGCAATAGTTGACCAAAACCTGTCAGCACTATTTTGGGGCAAGGGCAATAACTCTGCTTCAAACGGTCGAAAATAGCTCAAATTTGAACTTAATCTTAGTTTTATGAACATGTATACACATACCGAATTTCATTGACTCCATCAAAAAATCGCGTTTACAAGCAAATGTTGACGGATGGTGCCGACAATATACGTCCACATAGAGAGATGTGGGTGTATAAAAACTGACCATTAGCCTGTAATGTAATGACATGACTCTCCATAAGAACCATGCTATATTCTGCTGGTGGACAATGATAATTTTGAACATTTGACAGGGTTTACAACTCTGCAATTCTTTCTAAGAATCCACATAGCTAAAATTCTTTATTTGGACTCATCACATAGCCATCTCAAATAGTACTTACGGTATAGTAGTAGGTATAATAGAGTAACATCTACTTAAAGCTAAATGTTCCAACTGGTGTAAATTACTAGCTATAAGGTGTACTGATAAACATGTTATAACAGTTGAATCACTTAGATCTAATTCCTTTAACCTCTTACACCGATCTGTTATTTTCATAATTTCTGAAAAGTAATATTTCCGTTTTATTACTGATGTTAACTCTTCATTAAGTGGATCAAAGAGCTTAATAGGATTGTATGTGTATCGGGGACACTGATAGTATCAATTTGCACCATTCCCATTTTCAATCAGACGTCTGGTTCCTGCAATTCCACCAAAACTAAAGGTTTGATGATGTAACTAATTACGAAGGTTCTTATCCAATACAAACACATTTTGTAATTAGTGATGTCCTGTCCATTAAAAATAAGTGTTTGATGACATCACTAATCGCAAATCATGACCTAAACCAAAATTGAGCATCAAAACACCAAGTTGGCAGGCAAAGGGCATTATTTATTTATTATGGACTGAGCTCTACATATAAAGAACGTAGATCATAATTCCTATGATCTAGTCTAGAATGATATTCCTGTTATTGTATAAGGTTCTACGTACCATTATCTGTTATATTTTCTCTACAACCACTCCAATTTAGCTTGACCAATCTGTTAGGTAGATTATTAGATATATACTCTATAGTTTCTTTATTTAACCATGTCCAACTTATATTTAAACATTCTAATCTAAAATACAAACAGAATATGTCAACAATAATAAATGAGACTTTAAACTAATTAATTCGGGGACTTGATCTTTTTGATCAATGTTTTTACTAAGTATAGTCCATTTGAGGATAAAAATCAAGGCACTTACTGAGTAGTTAATGAGGATAAAAATCAAGGCACTTACTGAGTCGTTATTGAGGATAGATATCAAGACACTTAATGAGTAGTTATTGAGGATAAAAATCAAGGCACTTACTGAGTAGTTATTGAGGATAAAAATCAAGGCACTTTCTGAGTAGTTATTGAGGATAAAAATCAAGGCACATTCTGAGTAGTTATTGAGGATAAAAATCAAGGCACGTACTAAGTACAGTTGATGAGGATACAAATTAAGGCTCTTACTGATTAGTTATTGAGGATATAAATCAAGGCACTTACTGAGTAGTTATTGATGATAAATATCAATGCACTGAGTTCAATTATTGATGATAAATATCAAGGCACTTACTGGGTAGGTATTGAGGATATAAATCAAGTCAGTTACTGAGTACTTATTGAGGATAAAAATCAAGGCACTTTCTGAGTAGTTATTGAGGATAAAAATCAAGGCACATTCTGAGTAGTTATTGAGGATAAAAATCAAGGCACTTACTAAGTACAGTTGTTGAGGATACAAATTAAGGCTCTTATTGATTAGTTATTGAGGATATAAATCAAGGCACTTACTGAGTAGTTATTGATGATAAATATCAAGGCACTGAGTTCAATTATTGATGATAAATATCAAGGCACTTACTGGGTAGGTATTGAGGATATAAATCAAGTCAGTTACTGAGTAGTCATTGAGGATAAAAATCAAGGCACTGAGTACATTTATTAAGGATATTTATCAATTTACTTAGTACAGTAATTAAAAATATAAATCAAGGCACTTACTGATTACAGTTATTGAGGATGGGTTCCATACCATGATGTGTTATACCTTGACACATAGTTAAATTTAAACTTTCTATTTCACTATTCTGTCCTATATATCTATAGATGGGAAACAAAGAAAGTCATGAAAAATATTTAAAGAGATTGCTTAAAATTCAAATACAGTCAGGTGTTAGGTGAGCTTGGAATATTCTTGTCAAAACACGTCACATGTAAATTGTGTTAAAACTTTATGTACTTTGTTATTAAAGAAGTGTGTTATACCATAATATATTCCCTTGTGTTTGTCCAAACAGCTTCAAGGATCAGAACATAAGATCATACTACCAGTTGCTTTCACATAGAAATTATAATGGCTGCAAGTGTACCATTATGTTTGAGTTTCCATCCCTCTTACTCCCAGTCCTTTTGAAATTAAAAGACCTGTACCTACCTACATATAGAATCAGTAAGTTTACAATTTTCTAAGCTGAGCTTTTTTATATTGTGACATAGTGAAAATAACTGTTCTAATATTTCTGGAGGTACAATTGCCATACTCAAATCTAAATACTGTATAGCAACATTACTGAAATAAAGTAGGAACATATCAATTAACATAACATACTGTTAATATAGTTTATATTTTTCTTTTCTTTTAGATGCTGAGATGTTTCATTATACCCAGATGCTTTTTCACAATTTGAAGAGAAGTTTTTCCACTGAACTGGAACTTCCAATTGATAAGAAAGCCATAGAGCTCCTGTTTACAAATTTTTGAATTTTTAGCCTTAACAGTGAAACTGGAAAACACTGACACTCTATCTGTATGTGTTTTGATAATAAGTTAGGTTATATAATTTATTTACCTGATATTAAGTTGATTACCAAGTATACTCTCATTAACACTGCCTAATATCTAAATAAAAACACCCAATAAAATACTTTCCATTATACCTTTCTGAATATATCATTTTTATCAATTTTTGCACAAAATTATGCTTATTTTTGTCTGCAACAATCCAGTATCAAATCAGTGCAATGTTTATGAATCAGAATATGATGAGCAAAAATTTAATTCTGACAATATTACCAATTCTTACAGGGCTGTTAAAGAAAAAAGTTTTTCTGAATTTTTTATGTGTATCAGGGAAACTGATAGCATCAATCGACACCATTCCAATTTTCAGTCAGACGTCTGTAGTTCCTGCAATTTTGATATCACTGAGTGTCTGCAAAATGATGCTTTCAGTGTCCCCCTGATACACATACAAATTTTCGTAGGCCTCTTCACAATCTCTTTAAGATAAGAATTTACATCTTGAAATTTTGAAAATCAGAATTGCTCTACTATAGAAATCAAACAAGAATAACATTTTATGAAAATAAGTAATATAACATTAACAAACCTCTGATTTAGCTAAACGTAATATCTTAACACCTCTATTAACAATATTAGATAGTGTACTAGGTGTTATTGTATTATTTGATAAATCTATTTTCCGCCATAATGACTTCTGTTTCCTAAAATATATTTCAAGATATATATCTATAGTTATAGTCTTAGAATGAACATAAAACTTAAGTTCTTGAAATGGTCAATAGGTGTATATATTCATCAGTTAGTTTACCTGGTGTCATAAAGTTACAAAAGAATCCCTGTAAAATCTGGAAAATTGGAAAATTCATCAAACTAAGTAATTATTGAAAAATGCTTAATCTTGATATTAAGCGTTTTTCAATAGTCAATTGCATATTTATGATAATTATTAAGTTTTTTGGATTTATCGGATTATATAAGGATCCTGTTATGTTATTTATGACACCAGGTATATCTACTGGCTCTTATTCACCAAGTTTAAAATTCTTAAATTTTATGTTAATTCTAAGACGTAGTATCACTTTAATCATAATGTAAATAGACAAGATTGAGTCGATCCATGAATAATAGCATTTGACGTTACAATACATATCATATTTGCCATATGGAAGAAAGTATAACTTTATCAAAGTTTTAATTGATTATTATAACTGTATATTGCAGATAACAAAAAACTAATATTTCTTGTAATTTATTGACCATTTGATAAAAGCTGTAACGTTTAGGGTCACAAATGGTACTTCCACTGTTAATTTCTTCTATATAAGGATGAGGCATAGTTGTATGTCTTTACATGATTGTGTTGAATGCCTAGTGAAGTATCGATACACTTATATAGTGGCATATTGTATTACAGTATTGCTAGCAATACTCAATAAGCTACACCATCAATACTATCATGCCTGTCAATCTGAGCTGTAATATTGTAAACCTGGGATCTCCCTACGATTTCATTAACATGAAAGCATGCAATTCACTTAGCAACAAAATTTAAACACTTACACTAGATGACTCCACCTTCGACAAACTCTAGCACATTTAGCTAAAGTAAATCTTGGTAATAGATGAAATATATTCAATATATTTTCATCTAATAGTTTATTTATGTAATCTGAAATATAAAACAGTTGTTGTGGAAAGCTTATATAGGTTTTTACAAGAGCCACTGCTACCAGATCCACAACCTTCAGCACACAGATGCTAAATTTTTAAACATTCATTTAACGGTTGAAACTGAAAATCAATTAAATGTTAAGGATCTACATAATTTAAAAATTTCAGGGATATATTTACTAACAATGCTTTGAACCATTGTGAAATTTTATTACAAATTATAATCAGGAACAAAGTCTACAAAAAGCATGAAATTTGAGTTACATGTTTTTTTTTGTAGCCAATAAATTTTTCTTTGGATTTTATTGAGGCTTTTGATTTAAACTTACCGCTTCCCGAAATTTCTTTACATTCTTCTTTGCTGCGAAATTTTTTACTCAATTTTATAGGCTTAAATCCTTCAGTATTAGGACTAGAAAATGAACAATTATTCCGTTGACTAGGTTTCAGTATTCGTGGTGCCTGAAAAGTTCAAATAGAATATTGTCTTACAGAATTTCAGACTTTCAGGGAGCCCCCCTACCTTGTTCAGACATAAGCTGTCTATTCATTGGAAATTAAGCTCGTGTTAGATAGAAAAGAATTTCACTTCATAAATATTACATATACATGCATACCAGGTTCCAAATTTTTTTACTTGAGACTTGGATGAAGTTCTAGAGTCTTCACAAGGTTTTGTGAATTGATTGACTTTGGCGTTGACAATTTATCACAAATTCATGACAATATTATAGAATAAGCACACTTTTCATAAGCTTATAAGCTTCTATAGAGAAAAGAAATGAAATGAATGGAGTTAGTTTTATGTCCTACTTTTCTGCACCTAAGCTTCTATAGAGAGAGATGAAGGCACATAGTAACTCACCAAAGGAATGGTAGGGGTATCTCTGTTTATAGCTGAAGCTGGTGTGTTTTCATGTATAATACCATCACTGCTATCTGTATCTTCCCCACTCTCACTAATTATCAAACTCACACCCATTTCAGTATAGATACTTTCTGTCTCATCATTTTTATCTTGGATTTTTTTACTTTTATTCTTTACAACTTTCCTTTTTTTACTGCAGAATAAAAGGAAAATTTTTTTAATAAAAGTATGTTTGCAACCATAATAAAGGAACACAGTCTTCAGTACTTAGTCTGCATACTAGGGTAGAGTGATCTTCTATTGACTGGATAGTCTCTTCTATACTTGGGTCGTCTCCAGGCAATATTGCCTTATAATCAGGTCTTCTTAATTGCATTGAAAATAACAAATATAATAATTTGCATTATAGCATGATATTGAGAATCTTCTTTGATATTTATGGTTGAATAAATGAGTTGGATGTACTTAGGTGTGCTATAGCTAGGTTTAAATGGGGGCCTTTTGTCCCTGTGCAAAATTACAGAGGAGCATGTCCGGAAGGGCTTTTGTCATGTAAACAAATGATCTTTGATAGATTTTCTCTTAACAGGCTATGGCTAATATCATGCAATGTCTCTGTCTTCAACATTTTTGGAAATTGGATTTTAAAAATGAAATTAATCAAGTTTTACGTCCTACTTTTCTGCACCATGTGGGCTAATGAAGGCGGGCAACGCCATGCAGGGAATTAATCTATTATTTTATAGCCTATAAACTTCGAATAAGAAGATTTTGGGCTTACTACATGAGGAGAATCTGGGGCTGACCACTGACACTGTGTCTGTAGGGAGAGAAAAAGGAAGAACTCTGCAGACCTCAACTCAGTGACCAAGTGAAGAAAATATTTATCAAAACAATCACACTTCAAAGAAAATTGTAAATAGTTTCTCACCATGGTTGCTCAATAAAGTTTTCTTTTGAACAATCTATTTCTGATGAATGAAAACTGGTACTTTTCAAAGTTTTCATGATTTTATTTTTACCCCCAGTTTTGTTCATTTCTTGAACTTTTTGAGCTTTACCGCCAAGGATAGTTGCCGGTTCGTTTCAACCGCTCTTCTTGTTTGAGGGCAGGCAAGTGTTAGTACGTCTTAGTCAATTATTCATGTTTACTTCTTTGTCATAAATATCAACCCATAATTTCATACCATAATTTTTCCTTTTTGTTTCTGGGTCTCATTGCAAATTATTTCCAATCAATATAAAAATAGAACCGATTGATTTACTGTATCATTGGGCACTAAAGTGCAGAGATGTCCGTTTTGACGTCTGGCCGATTTAGTTAGAGAACATGATGAAAAGTTGATGTGCCTTGCGTTTGACTTTGACCAACAAGAAACGTGAAAAGATTCTCTTATTGAGATCATTTTGAATAGGCCTAGTCGGCTGAAATTATCATTCTTATTTACACGTGAGTTCACTGTTACGATTGCAAGTTTAATTATGTAAGTTAGTACTTTGGTTACATAAGTCAGTGCCAGTGATGGATTGTCGCTGACTGGTCAGAGATGTGGTTGTATAATACAAACTTATTTTCCCACTTTAAGTTTAAGACTAAAAGTTTATACAGATGGGTTTTGGGGGTTACAAAAATAAAGGCTTGAGAGGAACTGCTCCTGGATTCTCCTTGAGCCTGAGGTGTGCTGTCTTCCATGAAAATACAATATTTCTGTGGGACTAAACAAAGCTGCCGAAACAAGTGCTAGTATCGCCAATCATGCCATGATACGATACCTGTTCAGATACAAATGTCACGCTTTGTAATGTATCGCGATATGGGGTAACCGTAATGGGATGAATTTAAAACCAGTTTATCTTCAAAGTTTCAATGTTTATTATACCTTTAATATGTGATATTTGGTATGGTAATGTAGTTGATAGGAGTGGTTAATGTCACCATCTTAAAAAATGTTACAAACAATTTCAGTCAAGTCAGAAAAAATTGTGATTCCATTCGCTGACTCATAAAAATGTCAACTTTTTATTGAAGGAGAGGAATTGTCAAGTCTTGATACAGGACCTGGCAATAGGATACATGTCACGTTTCACAAAATAGGCTTACTTTCAGCTATTAGAAATGATTTTTGAATATTAAGAATTAGGGCTGACTCTCGGAAGCACAGGCCTTGAAAAAGATGTATAAGTACAGTTCTATATCTATTATATTATGTTTTAGTCAAAATGGGAGGATCATCCTCGACCATAGAAAATAAAGATACCAAGGCGAACCCGCCGTCAGAATGCCCTATGCATGCTCAACAAAAAGTGACACAGAAGGTTGATCAGAATGCCAACTATCAGAGTGACTGTCCAATGAGTCAGGGTGAAACTGGTGCTTGCCCTGTTAAACATGGTGGTGGTGATGACATCGATCCAACAAATATGGTAATAAAATGATATTGACTATGTATGCTGAATTTTAATTTGATTGATTAAGTTTAAGATTTATATAATTTTTCAATAAGGGAGATAACTCCATTATGCTAAGTCTCATTTTTTTGACTTCTGTTTCCCATGTGCATTAAATCACATCAAATCCAAACCAACCATAACACTACATTTAATTTTTTTTATTTTAGATGCCGCCACCAAATCAGAGACCCTCAGAAGGACAACCATTTCCATTACCAACTGGTCGGGTAAAATCTACTATTCCAAAAGCGGGTACTGAAAATGAAACCTGGCAATATCCTTCTCAACAGATGTTTTGGAATGCCATGTTGCGCAAAGGTAAGTGGTATGTTTTGTAATCTATTGGTAGTTGGCTTCTGACAAAGCATTGAGATTCTCAAAAGTATTGATTGCAGATTTTCACTTAAACGAAGATTTCTACCTGCTGCACTCAAGCATCTATCATACAACAATCAACCTGAATACTGTCTTACTGCCTTCAATATTAAATGGTAGACAATAGCACAGTTCATAAGCCATTGATTTTCAAAACATTGTATGGACCTCATATCTTAACTCTTACTTAATATTTTGGGGGATACTCAATTTTCTATTAAATTATTTTTGTCTTTCATTAAGAAAGCTTAAATGAAATATTTTCAGGTTGGAAGTGGAAGGATTCAGAAATGGGACCTACTGATATGGATAATATAATAAATATACACAATGCTAATAATGAACAAGCCTGGAAGGAAGTGCTAAAATGGGAAGCTATGCATGCATGGTAAGATAAATTTTGTTTACGGCATTAAAGATTTATTGAAACTGCTTGTACATTACCATTGTGCCTGTTTTCTAAGACTTGTGTCTAAGTTTTCTCAGTGAAACAGGTCTAAGCTGATTGTCCTCTGGGCACTTTTCTTGTATCTAGCAAGTTTGTTAAAGGTCATTTTGGTGGGTCAGTAGACCCAGGTCTTCTGTGCTACATAGTGCGCAATTAAACAATCCTGAGACAGAAAAAGAGAGGACTATTGTTGCGGTCCATGCAAATTTGCAATGTGTGGAATAAGCTTCATTAACCAAAAGTAAAAATCCAATTTTCATCATTGCATCATTTCATTTTGTTTAGTGAATGTTCTACACCAAAATTGAAGAAGTTCGGAGGCAAAGCTACACAATATTCACCAAGAGCCAGAATACGTCATTGGTTAGGGTAGGTCATCTATTCAGAAATCAGATTTAACAGGAGATGGAGCCCAATTATATTTAAAAAATTAATTTGTCATAATATGTACTTTACCAGCTAATGACTATTTTATATCACAAATAACATGGGAGGTTTTTATTTAATGATTAGCGAACCAGGTGTCAGATTTTAATCTTAAAACAAATATGTAGATAAATGTATCCATTAGAATTAAAAGAGAAAAATCAGTAGTTTGACAATATTAGTTCATAATTTTTGACAGCTCTGAAATGATCAGGGCAGTATTATCTTGACAACTGCGAAAGCTAAGACTTCTGTTCAACTGTATTCTTGAACTGTTTAGGGTACATAGTCATAGTGAAAATTCTTAAAAACTAGCAATCCGAAAGTGGATCTAAAGGTGTGGGCACGCAACTCGAATCTTGAGTAAAATTTTGCTTGTGCCGTGCTTCAACAACAAGATTATCATGTCGCCGACAGGATTTATAATATCAAACAAGGTTGATAATTGTCCCCCATAGTTTATTGTCTGCAAGACAGACCGTCATCATCCAAACAGATTCCTTTTCCTTTCAATTGCATGCTCCACACATGATTGTCTACAAGGTGGAAAACGACCAACTGAAGATTTTTGTCTCCTCGTGTGCCCATGCCAGTTACTGATACTCAAAACAAGACTCGAATAAAAGCTCTAAACAAAAGTCTCCGACCAAGACCGCACGTGTGCCCGCACCTTTCAGCAACTCTCATAAAAAGTCAAATTTTATGTCTGGCCCTAAACTTGCGGATAATGTCCGATATTCACGTTCGATCAGGTTATTGATCTTGGTCAGTACGGGCATGACTTATGTTCCAAAGAACTTTTACTTTGAAATTAATTGATCCAAACTATTTTATTTTTAGATATGAATTACCATTTGACAGACATGATTGGATTGTAGATAGATGTGGCAGGGATGTGAGATATATAATAGACTATTACGATGGTGGTTCTGTTGATCCTAAATCTCATGAATTTACTCTTCTAGATGTCAGACCGGCTTTCGACTCTTTCACAGCTTTTAAAGATCGAATGAAAGTGAACTATATGAGATGGACTATAAAAGATGATAAGATTGTTGGTGGAACTGCAGTGGATCATAGTAAACCAAGTGTTGTTGATAATAGTAAACCAAGTGTGGCCTCGTAACCCATTGAATTTTAATGTTGAAACAAATACTGCCTCCCAACTCACTTCAAATTGTGCATTTATGGATATTCGAAAACAATGTTTTGTATATAGTGGTGGTGCCAGCCTGACAAGACCGGGGGTACAAATAGGAGGCAGAATGACTTAAAGGGGGACAACTGTCAAAATTGTGATCCTCAGCCCCACAAATATACATATATACTTATAGGAATATGACAACAATTTGAATACAACGTTGTGAATATCCTCAAAATTCTCTTCACAATGTCAAGCTATGAAGAACAGCCTTGACTGCAATAGCCATCTTGGATTGGATTGTACTTTCTTGTATCACAGATGTATCGCTAATGTACAATCCAAGAACATCGCTTCGTATACAACCTTCTGTTATACAAGAAAGTTGACTATTGCAGTCATGGTATAAGCCACGGTTTGTAATATCTTGACATTGTGAAAATGTATCAAAATGTGTTATGTGAATTTGTTGATACATGAACTTTACTCCTCAGTATTCTCACTAAGATTATTTCTTATTTTCCGTTTATGCCTATCTTAATATATCTGAACTTTTGATAAAGATTCAAAAGATTTATTAACAGTCTTTCCAGGAAGATAGCTAGCCACCTGAAAGTATTGTAAATTGGAGAAATGTTTGCTTTGTGTTTTGATATTTGTTTGATATTTATTTGAATAATTGTAAAGTGTATATTTGAAATTTACTTGATTTGTTTTAAATTCAATTATTTCTAGAAAATGTGAAAAGATAGTCTTTACTCTTTTTTTCTCGAGTCCTGGTGTTTGACCTTAGCTTAATCGACCATATATTCCCTTTCTACTTTCATTGATCATATGTGAAAAACATGAAAAATGTTTTTAGGGAACTGGAAACCTTAAGGTAATGTATACCTTGGTGGTTGGTGTACATCCTAGGATCAATTGGTCATTGAAATCCAATAACAGCAGGCAATGAGAGCTGCATCTTCACAATATTAAGCTATTACGAAGTTCTTACTTATACCTTGACTGCAATAGTCACATTATTTGTATCATAGAAGTTGGTTGATAAAGTGATTTGATTGGATTAAATGCTGACCGATACAGCCAATTTGAGGCCTTGACAGAAATGTTTACATCCAGTAATTTACTCTGTGACTGTTTATATATCAAAGTTTCAGCAACTTTTTATTTTACCACAAATTACAGTGAACATTGAAAAGAAACATATCACTCTCCTAGAAATTTAAACCAAAAAAAAAGAGTCCCAAATTTTTGCTGATGTAACATTTTGAAGACATGATATTGTGTTCTCACGTTTTGAGACTAACAGGCTGCCATTCCAATTCTCTTAAAAATATTGGGAACATTTTTGAAAATAAAATTTTCTTTGCTCAAAACAATAAATGAAACATACAATGTATTTACTAAGAATTATATTACATTATGAAAACATTTCAACATTTCTGAAATAACAATCTAAACATGGATTAGGATCAAAATATACTAAGATTAAGAATGAATCCAAGAAGATGAATATAATTTCAACAACACTTCTTTGATGAGCTCTTTGGATAATCACGACTACTAGGACCATTGAGACTGGATTACAAAGACTAAAGTGTCATGCGTCTAAATATAGACACAAAACAACATCCGGAAGAGACAACAAGCAGGTGTTCCTAAACGAAAATTATTTTTTACAGAAAAGAAAAGAGAGACCTGAGTTGTCGATTTATTATTCTTGATAACGAAGGAACAAACTTAACTCTCTCAGCTCTGATCAACCTATTTTACCTCATTTATTCCGATCACTAACGTTTTCTTTTGTGAATTGTAAACCGCCCTCGTGACGAAGTTTACCGCCATTTTGAAGCTAACGAAACAAACAATAACAATAATTTATTACTTGTTACCGACACGAAAGTCATTATCAATATAAATGAAAATGGAAGGGTGAGTAATTTAATTCCTTGTTGATCATTTCTGCCCTAAAACATGTTGTCATGCGTTAATATACTTTTAAATCTAAAATTTGACTAGTTCAAACAATAAACAGTTGATATGACAAAACAAATGTCAAAATGAAATCATATTTGTCATTTAGTTTGTCCGATCTTCTAAAGTAAAACTCTCTTACCACTAGGCCCTATGGTTCAAAACAATTTTTTTTTTGTAATCTTCTGTAAATACAAAATAACATTTTCAAATAGATCTATGTCATACATCTTAGTAAAAAATATCAGTGCAGTGTAAAAAAAAAACACACTGGCTCTGCGCCAAGCCAACTTTTCTAAGGAATTGTGCACATTGTTACTTTGAGTCTGGCAATATTCACTCCAAATCAAAATTTGAGCTTTGTTTAAGAATCATGATCACGACTTCAAAATTATTGCTTTGTTACTACTCTCTGACTACATTGTTTTCTGAATTGAATTTTGGCAATCATTTTCATATATGAATGGATTATAAACTACAAAATACTACTGAGAGTCTTGGATTGTCTTTTGATTGATGAAAATGTTTACCACTGCAAAAGTTATTGTTTGTAAAAAATGATTTTATAGAGTAGAATTTTCAGACCAAAATGTGGGTCATTTTCACATAAATTTTATTATATTTCTATGGACCCAAAGACATTCTAAGACAAATGGTATAAAGTTAAAAATTTTATTTTGAATATTTATGAAATGAGAGAAAAAATTCAATTCAAAGCCCAATGTAGTCAGACAATGGTTGTAGTGGCAGGTAGTATTTCCATTAACTGAAGAGCAGACGTGTACTTGATTCACCATTCTGACCCCATGAAAACAGCACAGTGATAATGGTCCAGAATCAGGACTGAGTATGATTCCTGTCAAGTTCCTATTTCAAGGCAGTGTAAACACAGCTTTTGAAGGCTTTGTTGGGTTCCATTATAGAAATACAAGTTTTGATTAAGACTTGGCTTGCTCGGCCTAATTTACATTTGAAATAAACACATTAGAAATTAAAATTGATATCATTTACCTCAATTAAAATAATTTTAATGGAAGTTGGTAGTGTGCCATATAGCAAGCCATATAGATTCTTGACCTGTATCAGTTTATCGACATATAACACATTTCAATTACTGAATTAGAGACTTAATGGAATGACTGTTCATTGTCCAACATTTTACCCTCAATACAACAATATGACTATACTGTCATTTACACTATTTATCTTCCTACAATTTAGAATTTAGAGTACCTCATTATTGTAAGTGTAAAAATAAAAACCCAAGTACTAATGATCAGAGCTGCATTGCAAAACCTAAAATAGCAATTAATTAGTAGCAGCTAATTAATGATCTTTCTATATAATGAGGAAATACAGAGTTGTTTATGATAAAAGTCTATTTTAATTAGTCTGCCATTCCACAAAATAATGTTTTTTCCTCGTTCACTGTCCCAGCTTTAAGGTTTTCGGAGTAAGGTCACTATATTAAATGATTTGAAAGAACCATACACTAGTGGAATATCAGTTTCACAAAAACTAAAATAGCTTGCCAATCTGCAATCATACAACCTAAATTTTTTGTTGAGTAAGCTAATCAAAGCTTTATTACACGCCAAGATTAGCTTTATTCCCTCCATAATTTAAATTAATAAAATATGTTATGATTTAGTTACATTGGAAATTATATGCATCTGTTCTATACAGAAACATAAAAACATGTTGGATTTACAATGTCATTCCTTGGGCTGGGGTAAGCTTAATATCTGTTTTGGACTGTTAAACCAAAGAGTCTGTGTTATTGTTAATTGACTGAGGATAAAGAGATTAGGGTGATTGAAGAGTAACAAGTTACTATTCAATATAAGGCACTGGCACAGGGTTAAAGTTATGTTTACAATAATTGTGATGCTAATATGCAATGAACTAAATCAAAGAAGATCATAACGGTTATCCTATAAATCTTCTTGGACCTAATAAAGAAATTCATAATACTTATAATCTACATTTACGGAAATAACATTATTGAGACAATTGTCTGTGGAAAGTACAGAATCATAAAAACTCTGACTGCTTCAAATTTTTTGGAATAATGAGGATAAAGGTAAAATTTAAATGGTATAAGGAACAGGATAACGGTTATTAGTAACATCCATTTGTTGGATCAAAATTAGGGTCCATGACCGGCACAAGTACCCTTGGTATTGAACACATGATGTTGACAATCTATGTTATAAGCTGATTATAAGGATAATCTAGATGTTCTGTGTTTTTAATGTTGACTTAATGCTACATGAGGACATCAATATGTACTAAAGATTACAATATGACTTAAGATTTCTTGTGGTTACGTTAAGTTTGATAAGGCTTTGTCTAATGGATGTTAAAGGGATTGGTGGGCCATTTTTTTGGACTGATAGTTCCTTAGTCACAGAAACTGGAATTATTTAGCTGAGCTAATCAGTAATAGTCTTCACAGCTCACCATTGATATTTGAGCCTTCAAATCCATGTATGTCTAGAATTATCTACGTTTAAACGACAACTCATCAATTTAAAATACTCTAAGATAGAAAATCTTTTTATTTACATTATTCAAATCAAAATCAACTCCGGAAAATGTCCCTTTAAGAAATTTGGGATATTGTATGACATTGGCATGAATTGTCAGTCCACTTTAAGGCTTGTGTTTACATTGGTTATAAGGTGATAAGGTCAAAATTTACCAGATCAAGATTTGAATAAAAATTTATCTAAAAGAAAAAAATCTTCTTATAATCAGTCATTAGATTCAACTAGTCCCTTTTGTAACTGTTGTATAATTGATTAGAAAATAAAGCCAAGTTAATGATAAAACAATACTGATGTAAAATGTGTGTTTATTTATCTACAATCAAAGATGAACTGAAGAAACCTTGACAAGAGACAAAAAAAAACCACTGCAACAATAAATATGAAGATTGTTAAATTTCAATTCATTCTTATTTAACTTCCTGTTTTGTTTCAAATCAATAATTGATGAATCATAAG